TTTGATGTATGCAACGGAATCAAATATAAGCAACAGCATAAAGATGTACTCAGCGTCATGGAGCACGCCTTTGGAAGGTTGCTATATATGTCTTGCACGACAGATGAAGATTCACCTAAGGGCCGATACAAAATCAGGATACTGTCGCTTGCGCCGTTCTCAAACGGAAAAGAGAGGTCACACCCAATATGCGTTCGAGAAGAAAACAGATGTACTGGAACCGCCGTAGCTGGGTTTGCCCGCTGATGGATTTTTTGAGCAACTTTCTCAAATGAGCGTCTCTTTTTTGTAGATGACAGTATTATAGGTATGATATTGCTTGCTTACATCATAGAAATTAAAGAAATGATTCCTGCACAATATCTGAGCCCTAAAAACTTTGGCTAACCTCTTTAGCATCATATCTACTACTTAGATATCCCGTATCAACGTAATACTTTCGCAATTGTTGTCCAAACTCGAAATGTTGTTTCATTCCAATCTGAAAAAAATGGATGCAAACATAATTAATGGGCTTGAGGGAGATTGAATGTTTTGTGCTCTCTGGTCAAAGTTAAAGATTGACCTTTCATAATTTGGAAAGAACGTACATACATATTTGTCTATTTGTTTATATCTAAAATGGCTACCGGTGAAAGTTGTCCCCATCCTCCACCTCCAAATTTCCAATAGTCCTCTTGTAGTGGATCTGTTGGATGTGTTAATGTAGGTGATCTATCTCCATGCCGCCATACCTGTATTGATAAATTGATTCTGATTGGGTTTTACGGAGTTTTCTTCATTGTTTTGTCAAAAGATAATTACCACTTGTACAAGAACTAATTCCATGTCGTCGACCACCAAAGAAGCAATAGTTGGCGGTATTAGGAGAGATAAGATAAGAATGAACATCTTCCCAGTAAATCTTCTTTGATGGATAGGTTAATCTAAATATTGTGTCTAATGTGAAAAAAAGAATTTTTGATGTATAATGCAGCAACGACGATCAATCATGCACTTTAAAAATTTCCATGAAATCTTGTGTGGGAGAAAATTCCTTTTTTTCAAGCACGATGTCGTGAGTGCGTATCACAAACTTTAGGACAGGAGGAAAGAGCAATCATCTAGGGATAATCGATTATTGTATTAATTTATTGGTCTTTTGCATTTTCTGTTCCAGGCCTTGGAGGCGTTGATTGACTCAAGATTAAGAAATTGCTTGTTTGACAGTTTTAAAACAGCCATATCAGTGTGCAACGTAGTTTTCTCTATCTTT